AGGAACTTCCAAAGCTGCCAGGCTGGTTGGGGGATTCTGGGATTTGTAGTTCAATTTTTAAAAGAGGAAGGTTTCCCAAGTGCTCCTTAAAACCCCTGTTGGCTGATCCATCTTGGAGGCCAAAAATTTCAGCATCCCTTCTCCTCTCTCAGCCAGAGGCAGCAAGCGCCCTGTGGAGGTTTGGCTGGTAATTGCTTGCGCTATTAGGAGCATTCAAAGAGCCGGTCCTAAGCGCCTGCGTCTCTCTTTCATTCCTCTTCCCTTCTCTGGCTAAAACTCAGATGCTAGGCTGAGTTAAGGCGTTCAAAGCCTGATATTGTAACTGGGAAGCTGATGGTGATTCGGATAAAGGGATCAGAACCTCCAACGACGGAGCCCTTCTGCGCTTTTAATGTTTTAAACCCTCAATGGGCTTCTGCCTTTGCAATTTGCTAGCTAAATCTCTGGGTTTGCTTTTTTTTCCTTTTAAAAAAAAAAGGTTGCTGTAAGTCAATCAGATAATTGCAACCTTAAATATTAAGGCTGTTCAAAAGTCCTCGTCCTCCAGTTATTCAGTTTGTCTTTTACGGCAAACCCACATGGCAAGATCAAGATGCATCTGGCAGGATTTGGTCTGGGTTTATTTTCCTTTTTCCTCCTCTTCTTCTTCTGTTCTTTCATTCTTCCTTTCTTTCCTCCCTCCTTTTCTAGTGTCTCTTTTGTTCTGCTGTTGGATAGATGTGGACAGCTGATAATAATAAAGGGTGGGGAGGGGGGAAAGACAGTCAGGGAACTGATCCCGAGCCAAGATAGTTAGTTCCATTTATTAACTTCAAACATGGGAGTGTGGGCACATGGGGGAAATGAGCCAACCTTTTGGCAGGCGAAGGGGGGCCCTTCATGAGGAAGATCGTGGGCTCCTTTTCTTGATCGAAGAGAGGCGATAAAACCTTGCAGATTGATTTTTCCACCGATTGGGTTGCTCTCGGCATCTGCGCTCATGTGAGCATGGGTGTGTTTAATTTTATTTTTTAAAGTGCACTCAAACACTTTACTCAAACACAATGCACCTAAGAGCATGAAGCATATATATATATATATATATATATATATATATATATATATATATATATATATATATATATATATATGCATGCTCCATGCTCTTATGTGTGCACATATATATATATATATATATACCAAAGTTTTGTAGGAGTTTTCTTCCTCTCCCTCCCAGCCCCCCTTCCTTTCCGTTTTGCTTTCTGCCGAAGCAGATCTCAGCTGCCGATAAGCCGAGGACTCGATCTCTCCTCTGATAAAGATTGCCAAGTGAGATAAAGGTTTCCTTATCGCTACCAAACAGACTGCAGCAGGATTCGCCTACCACAATAACAGACCCTGGAAAGGAGAGGGCTCCCAACGATTTGTTCCATTGCAAATGTGATTAATGCAGGCATTTTAATTATCTGATGGAGATGGGGGAAGAGGTTGAGCCCTCTCCCCATCCTCCCCCTGTAATATATGTATACACACTATTCTTTCCTTTCTTTCCTCTCTCTTTTTTAAAGCCCCATTTCTCTTCTAGGTCTGTTTTATCAGCCCCAGATGTTGCTTCGTTTCAAAGTCAGCTTTCAGATCCCTATCGGCCATTCTGCTAAGTGTAGCAAATATATCTTTTAATAAAAAAAGACTCAAAAGGGGAGGCTTAAATGCCCAGAGACGTTCCTTCCAACTGTGGTTCAGTGGCAGGAGTTGGCCACCATGCAACGTGGTTTGGAGCCTGAGGCTGGCTTGTGGTTGGGTGGGTTGCATAGTGCTGCTGCTACAGGTTGAACATGTTACTACACCCTTACCTGGGTGTAGTAACACTTGTCTTTGGAGAAATGCAGCCGTTTGGCTGCCCGATGATTGACGTCGGTTGCAATTGCCTTCCTTTGGGTCCCACCATTGGACATAATGCATTGTTTGAGAAGATGGAGAAGGGCCTTCTTCTCTGTTGTGTCCCATGGATGATGGAACACACTCTCCATTGACCACAAGGGCTGCATGAATCTTTGGGATCTGCCTAAAGATCTCTTCAGCCCTCAGTGCCACCCTTTGCCCTCTCCAAGGGCCCTCACTGTACTTTTGTAGCAAGGGAAGGCACTCTGCCCATGTTTGGGCCACCTTTCTTGAACTCACCTTCACCTGTATACCTGAGATCTGTTCTGTATACCTGAGTGCACTTCCAAACTTTGGGCCTCCAGATGTTTTGTAATTCAGCTCCCAGAATTCCCGACTTTCAGCCAAGTAGGCTGGAGCTTTTGGAGGGCTGAAGTACAAAACACCTGGAGGACTCAAGTTTGGAAATGACTGAGATCTGTTCTATAAACCTGAGTGCACCTCCTAGACCAGCAATTCCCAAACTTGGTCCTCCAGATCATTTGGACTTCAGCGCCCAGAATTTCCAACTTTTGGCCAAGTAGGCTGGGGCTTAGGGGGCCAAAGTACAAAACACCTGGAGGACTCAGGTTTGGGAACCACTGTCCTAGACCTTCAGTTGAACTCCTGGCTCCAATGAATTCCTGCCTGGCTTTGATGCTCCTTTTGCAACTTTTTAAAAAGGGGTTGGTTGGTCATGAATATGCCTGTGTTTCCTGGATTTGCTGCAGCGAATGTCAGCTGAATGCTTCTCCTCTTTTTTTAAAAAATAAATAATGACTACAGTAGCCCATTGAGGCATCTATTTTTAGCTCTCCAAGCTTTAAAGGCGCACAAAACACTCTGTTCCTGGCTTACACACGGTCACGGGCAATTTGTGAGTTGCCATATTTGTAATTTCCATGTCACCTCTCACCACTTTTCCTCACCTCTGGGTCCAGGGACTTCCAGGTTTATCGATCGCCCTGGCTTGGAGTGCTTTTCTATCCAAAGATTAATTTCCCTATATAACACCCTGAACTTTAGCCTTGCAAATATGTTCACTCAGGGGGAAAAAAAGTCTGCAAATATATTAGACCAGCAGGGGAGTAAGGAAACCCTGGTTTCTGTTTTGGCTTCTCTTTGGCTGCATCTGCACTGCAGAAATAATCCAGTTTGACGCTGCTTTAACTGCCATGGAATCATACTACAAGGGGAGAAGAAGGATAATGCCTAGCATCCTGCTGGTGATGTACACCAGGAAAAATACCCTTGGGCTGGCAGCTGCATTTTAACATCACCCACAAAATCTATCCGATGCTGATCAAACGCTTCCCCCAATACAAAAATGATGAAATATCGGGCAAGATTATCAAATTTGCAGGAGGTACTACATTACAAGGGATAGCCAATACCCCAGAGGAGAGGATCAAAATTCAAAATGACTTTAACAGATTAGGCAAAGAGTCACCCTCCACATCCTTATGAAAAGGTCCCATCTCTAGTTAGCACCTCTATAACACAAACAGCTTAGATGCTAGCCTATATTTATCCAGCAACTTTGTGGGTACGTTAATATATTTTTTAAAATAATAATGTACATAAGCAGAAAGTCATAGAACTGGAGGGTAACCCCAAAGGCCTCCCAGTCCCTGGCAATACTGAAACATCCCTAAGAAGTAGCTTTCCAGCTTCTGTTTAAAAATCTCCAATGATGGAGAGTCCGTCGCTTTCTGAGGCAGTCTGTCCTATCATTAAGCAACTCTTTGTTGTAGGGTGCCTTCAAGTCATTTCTGACTTATGGAGACCCTAAGGCGAACCTAAAATTGGATTTTCTTGGCAAAATTTGTTCAGAGGAGGTTTGCCATTGCCTTTCCCCGAGGCTGAGAGAGTGTGACTTGCCCAAGGTCACCCAGTGGGTTTCATGGCCAAGCTGGGAATTGAACCCTGGTCTCCAGAGTTGTAGTCCAACACTCAAACCATTATGCCATGCTGAGACTCTAGACTTTGGATACTCCTGGGTTAAAAAGGCTTGCTTAGGTTTGCTTCTCTGTAGACCCTGCAATAAAATATGAACTAAGATGATATTTGAATATCTCTTGAACTAATAAACTAGATAAACTAGATACCTGTTGAACTAAGAAGTCACATTTTGGCACAAGAGAATTGTGCAAAAATGTCTCATAATCGTTGAAAAGTAACTTTTTGTGCTTTTTCGCAGATGGTTAACACTTTAGGATTGATAAGAGAATGGCATGAGCTAAGAACAATTCCTCTCAAAATGCCACTTAAAATGCCCTTTAAAAGTAATCCTTAAAACAAGAAGAAAACATCCCTTCTTGCACTAGAAAAGTGAGACTTCATTCCCACTCTTCCTGTTATGTTTGAAACGTAACTTTGTTACACCCTTATTACAAATAAAATGCTGAACTCACTGCAGACAACTTTATATTTTCTAATGCTTTCAGACAAATATATGCCTCTATTTATTACATTTCTATCCCACCTTTAAAGCAGCTTGCAATGCTGCTATTTCCCCATTTCAAACAAATCAATTTGCTCAGTCAATCAATCAATCAATCAATATACTAACCAGGCTGTGGAGTCAGAACCAATTCCCGGTGCAACAGGGACCGACTCTCACTCTGGTTTCAAAATTATATATATATATATATATTTGTGTATATATGTGTGTGTGTATATATATAATGCCTAATTTGTTGCATATTTATTTTCCTAGAAATTAAGCAATTTACTTGTTTAGAAAATTTATAACCCAATAAATATATGTTATATTCTGTCAATCTCAGGCTGCTGCCACACTGCAGAAATAAAGCAGTTTGACACCACTTGAACTGCCAAGAATCAATGCAGTAGAATTCTAGGATTTGTAGTTTTGTCAGCTATAGAGAGCTCCAGTGCCCCACCTACACTGCAAATCCCATAATTCCATAGCACTGAACCACGGCAATTGAAGTGGTGTCAAACTGGATTTTTTTCTGCACTACGGATGCAGCCAAAGTAGCCTGTTGATTCACAGGGTGGTGATGAAACGCTTTGTGCTACCATTTTACTACAGTAAATTTATTAAGCCTGCTTTGATTTATCTTTGCCATTTATTTGCCAAGATGGCACAGTGGTTTGAGTGTTGGACTATGACTCTGGAGACCAGGGTTCGATTTGCAGCTCAGCCATAAGACCAGACCCACTGGGTAGCCTTGGGCAAGTCACACTCTCTCAGCCTCAGGGGA